TCTCAAGCTAGGACCGTCCAAAAAAAAGTTAGATGCCATTTTCTCACTTTATTCTGCCTCTAAAAAGGGGTATACAACAGAAAAATTCTGAGCGATCTAAATAATATGTATTTCTATCACGTGTCTCATGGGTATCAATTCAAACGACTAATAAAAAAATGAGTTTACAAAATACTGATCAAGTTTAAGTTCAATTATATTACACTAGCCTGCGTACACGTTATATGAACGGGAAAATAATGTTTTCAAGACAAAAAAATAATGTTGCAATGTAAATAAAAATGTCAATACTGCAGTAATTTAAACAAACGGGGACCGGTGACATAGTGAAGCAGAAGTCTCAGAAAAAACGTTCCCCTTGCCTGGAGCTGATAGTGTAAACTCTGCATATTGTGGGACTTTAACAAACATCTTGTTCTTCTATTTTTACCATCCATTTTCATCGCTTCCATGTTTTCCTCCCTGATTCCCACTTTTGAAATCGAGGTACATCTGAGTACAGTAGATTTTCTGTAAAAGCATACTCTTGGCAAATGTTTAAAAAGGCTGTTGGAGCAATAAGTTGATGGGGGGTCATTTGTTGGTCTCTCAAGTGCAGTCTGTGCATTGAAGTAAACACGCTGCCTATTTTCCAAATGAACAGCAAGCTGTATAACACTTGGATGCCTCTCATGTGGTGGGAATTCGAATATCCTCCAAGCTGCCTTTGTGCTTCCATATATCGTGCGTTGAAAAAAGTTTGAATTTCATCATCAGCATTTGAATTTTCATAGTTGACTTGAATATTAGCCTGGTCGGTGACTTTGTGAACATATTTGAGAACATATTTTATGCTCTTGACCGAAGTGCATATTTCAATATTAATATGACAGTTTGGTTGTCGCAAAAGCCACGGGTTGTATGGAACAACCCACTCATTGTCGACAACCTTTCGAGTTTGTTTCCCATTGACTGTTGAAATTATAGTTGCTGTTTTTACACTGTCATTCGGATTTCTCAGCCTATACTTTTGGTAAGAGTCAACACCATGTTCTGTTTCGTTATAAAGGGCTTTAGGAACCCTTTTGAACTTTTCCCATTTTCCATTTTTCATGAAAACTGAAGAAATGTTGTTTTCTCCACATTGACCTTGGATCATATTGGAGGTCACTAATGAGTAGAGATTTGATCACTGGTTTTGTCTGGAATCTAAGAACAAACAACGTTGTCAATTGTATCGGGCATAATTTTGTTTTCCTTTGTCAGCCAGAGCAAAATATGTGAATGGGGTAGACCTCTTTTTTTATAATTCAATTGAATACAACCACATTTATAGTTTTCCAATGGCACCATGTTTCAAAAGATGCACGAGTTTTTACAATTTCAACTTGAAGACGCGCACTGTCAAATCTGTCCTGTCATGTGCTTGCTGCCCTGATGCTCTTTTATTTCAGTCCATTTTGGATTTGTTGTCATAGTAATAAATAAATCTGGTCTTCCATACAAACGAACGTTTGTCATGGCATGCTGGTGTCTTTCAAATATATAACTTGGTCCACCTGTGAACGTTGCTGGCAACACAACTTTCTTTCCTATATTTCTTAGACCACCGTCTGCTATCTGTAGTTGTCGGCTCTCAGTGAACGCTGCTCTCGACTGAGAAACTAATCTTCCACTTCCAATAAATTTTGCTTAGACATACACAATAAATTGTTGAAGCAAACACCTGGCTAAGAGAAAGTAGTTTCCTTGTCTTTTGAAAAGATCGAGTTTATAGATCTGCAGTTGGGTCACTTTTTTGTTCCTTTTCTCAGTTAGACTCCATCCGTCACTTCCTGTTGGGAATAGTAAGGGATATTGCAGTGGACCGTATGCTGGGTGCAGTTCGCAGATTCGTTTTACGCTGTTATTTTTTGTATCAGATTAGAATAGCACGGGGCCCAGCTGGTTCATTTGGCATAAGAATAGCAACTTCTTTACAGGACGGTGCATGGTAACGTCTATCGTGCTCACCGAGTTGTCTAGCATTTTCATGACTTGAAATTTGTTGAAATTTTGAAGTCCACTTTAAGTTGCATATTGGTATGCAGTCTTTATTTCTTAGATGTGTGTTTATAGACAGTCTTGTAACATATGGATTGTATTGCGTTTAAGACTTCAGTCATGTGTCATTGCCATTCTTAATTTTGTTTGGTCCTCCGAGTCTTAAAAAGATACCTGCAAAACCTGTTCACTTTTATGTTCTGATGGAAGTAATGAGCCAACCAAGTGATGAACCGGCCTTTGAACACGGAATTTGGGTTCCAGCCTTCAAAACTGATCTTTTGACATCCAAAAGATGTCATTTGAAATGAACAATTTTACTTTCTGATGTTGCTTAAAAAATGCTCGGAGACTGGGGAATTTCCCATGAACAGATCTTTAATTTTAGTGGCAGAAGTGGGTGTAGATCCAGTTTATGCTTCCCATTTCCACAGCAAACACCTTTCGTTTCTTCTCGAAACTTTATAGTATTACAACGATTGCACACATTTGTCATTTGTCCAATAGAGCAAGTATTATCAAGACTAATATCAGCAATGACAAACAGTTGTGTGTGTGTGTATCCTAGTTTTGTAGGGGTTGACGATATGTACGTCCTCGTGGTGAAATCAGGTGCCCGTGAAAATAATGAAAGTGAAAAATCCGACATTTTCAGACTTTTGATCATTTTGTTTCTTCTCAACACTTCTGAGGTATATTTAAAACATATTTCCTTTTGTATTTTTATTTAATAAAACATTGATCAAAATCACAACAAATATAATATGTACAAAAGCCAAGGAGATTAAAGTTTCGAAAGTCACCAAACATTGGCGGCAATTTCCTCGCTTATTTGACCGTTGACACAAAGCAACATGTACCCCCGTCAATAGCGAATGCTCCGACTGTTGCTCAGCACACATGGGTGTCTTTTCATAAGAAGAACGGCAAATGAATAAGCTTTAGGATAGTACCATTCACTACACGTGCTCAACAATATTGTCAGCTAAACAAAATGTTGTAACTTGGAACATAAAACAATGTTTATCACTACTAACTCTCTGTCTGCCTGCGCCTACAACAGGGGTTAGCCAAACCTGTTTCTCTCGGGGTGGTGATCCTTTCTTCAGCGAAGGGGCCCCGATGCGTTGGAACCTCACACGTTACACAGAAACAAACCAAGGCTCTAACTAGCCTTTTCTCCACCTATGCTCTCAGCAGGCCTTCTCTGCCTTGCTACAGCTCTCCCCTCTAAAGTCTCACCTGTCGTAATCCAGACTGCTTTTATACACTTGCACCACCTGAACTGAGACTCGCACATTACTCACTCTCACACGTTCAGCCAAACAATACAATAGGCTAGGCCTAACCCGGCCCTTGTCACTGACCAACACGCCAGATTGCAAAGTAAACAACCAAATAGACCACACAAAACACAGTGGCGAACAACTCCTTCACAGAATGCTAACATCTGACTTTGTCGGAACCCTAGCAAATTGCACGTCATTCATCCGTCGTGCGATGTACAAAAGTTTCAGAAATAATATTCCTGCTTATTATCCTAACCCCATTTAGATTCATTCTGTTTGCAGACAAAATCTATATAACTTTACACCCTTCTACTAGCTTTTGGTTTCGACGATATCCCGATATCTCATAGTGTTTCTGTTTTTGTTGTTCAAATTTGTTTCGTTTTATTGCTGATTTTGTTTTGTTCTTTCGTTTCTGTTTCTAGTCTTTGTTTGTTTTTGGATGGTAGGGTGGGGTAGTGGGGAGGGGGGAGGGGGATAAATGTCGTGTTTAAAAAGCGATGAATTATCTTACTGCAAAACATTGAATATAGACTCAGAAATAGAATGGAAGCGTACCTGGTTAAAAGTCTTTTATTCTTTTTACAGTGACTCCTTGAGCCCTGTACAAACAACAATGTAAAGTTTAAGTTATCGGTTGTTAGACAGAAAAAAGAACAAGTCATAATGTGATCGGTGGCCTAGTGGTTAGGCTCTCAGACTCGCAACCGTAAAGTAGTGGGTTCGAATCCCCTCAAGCACCCGACGTTTTGTCCTTGCGAAAGGCACTTTACTTCACCCTGATGAGAATGAGTACCCAGATATTGAAGACAGTGAAAGATCTTATCAGTTTGGTAGTGTTTCTGCGCTTAAATCAGCTGCTTGCACTGTATGCTTCCCGAAAAGTTGAGAATGTTTCTGAGTATTCTATGGTCTGCTGGTGTATCAATGTAGTGAAAAGCGCATTCAGCTTGCTGAAGAGCGTGGTAGTGCGCTATACAAATGGTATTTATTATGTATCATGTATCATGTATCATTTACTACTATTATGCAACTCTAATCCACTAAATATATACCGATGCAACAAAATAATAATATGCAAAGTAGAGTTATTTTTTACTTGAAATTCAACAGTAAATACATAGAAGCACAGCACTCATGAACAGATATAGAGTGGAGGTGTAGAGAAAGAAAGGTAAGGTAAAGATTAAAAGTTGATATTATCTAATTCTCTCTTTGCAGTGATG